ACATCAGCCTTAAACTTTGTTTTTGTCATTTACATCAGTTATATTTGTATAAAATACACTATATATTTTTGTGTCAGTACATTAATGGCACATTTGAGCTGCATTAGTAAACGGTTACATGCAGGTTTTTTTTTTTAGACCGGAGACCATAATAGTGTAATAATTTATTTTATGATATGAAACATCAAATTTTTCTTTCAATGTTTTTTTTAAGTTTTGCAAGAATTTCGTGATACTAAACTTTTTATTAGTTGTCATAGCAAGTGATTTTAAAAGTATGATGGCTCACTTTTTATAAGATGACTGAAAATTTTACTTGAATTCGTAGTTTATTCTTACTTTTGGAAACCTAATTGTTTTATAATTACTACTACTAGGCTACTATTATTATTATTATTATTTCTGTTGTTTCTAGTAGTAATTTTGATAAGTCAATAGAAAAAATATAACCACACACACATTGTTTGTCCACAGAATAACTACACATTATTAGGCTAAATAAAAAGCGTCCCCGCACGAACCTCTACCTCTGCCAGCAGGACCTCGATTTCAGACTCAGTAAAGTTTTTTTTTTTTTTCTTTTTCTTTGTGCTCGTCATTCTCAAGCATAGAAAGTCGGATATTGGTGTGTGCTCTTTTATATGGTAAATATAAAAGAGCACACTATAGTGCTATCGCACTTACGCACTTTTGAGAAATGATCTTAGAACAATTTTAGGACGGTTTATACACAACATTTTATAAATGAGGCCCCAGGTCTTTCTGCACTCAGGGCAGCTGTACCCTGTCGCTTCTTGTTGATCCCAGTTCTGCCTGATGCAGGCCATACAGTAGTGTTCATCCTGGAGAAGGTCCAGACAGTCTGCAGAGCTGAGCTGCTAATGACTGAGAGAATCTCCAGCCTCTGTTGTGTTAGGCCAGATTCAAAAAATAAAGACAGGGAAAAGCCGAATATGACCCTGTTGCTGAGATTGCTTTTGACACATTAGGAAAAAGCACAGGAATGTTGCTGTACTTGTTTTTGTACAGTGGAAAGAAGGAACAAGGAAAATATTGATAAGATTCATGTGTATACGTATAATGCACAGTAAAAACTCATTTTACTGGAATGAATTTTATTTAGCCTACAGACATATGAGCCATATCATTAAGCAGGGTTATTAAAAAAATTAAGATGGTAATATTAGACAAGAGTTTAAAAAATAATTTTTTTTTATCAAATAAAAATCTAGCAAGCCACCTACTGCTTATTCAAAATCTATTACATATTATGATGCACCTTCCTTACAGAGATTCAATATTCATACCACTTATAAAAGCCTGAGTAGGTGAAACAGTTTGACAGATCAGAGATTTGCTGGACTGTTGAATTTAATTACAAAGTGACTAACAAACACAACCTCTAAAACGAGATCATTGTTCAATTAAAAGCATACTCAACTGATTCAGAATATACAGAGCATTATGTTGAGCATTACTGGTGCTATACATTGATACAGATTAAAAACATGATTATAGAATGAAAATGGCACTCTAAAATGAGTATAAAAGTACAAAAACAACAACAATAACTGTTAACAGAAATAGTGCATAAACATTCAAATAAAAAGATTAAGTAGTCTTTTACAATCAGTATTATATTTAGATTATTTACATTGATTGTTACTTGATTTACATTTCTAGGAAGGAAATATATAAAAAGAAGTATGCAGAGTTTACTAATTATTTGTGGTTTTTATGTTTTAATGTTATTCTCACGGTCAGGATTTGGCTTGATCTTGACTAATTGCAGGTACTCCTTCAATCCCATGAGCCACCAGTGCCTCACACAAGTGAGTAAGGTATGTCGAGTCTGGATATCCACTGTTGCACACAAACAAATATTTCACATTCACACAAAAAGTTGAATTGGATATTTTAAATGTCAAATTAATGCATTCTGATAAATTAAGCGTTCATTCTCCCAGTCCACACTTATTAAATATAATAAATATACTAAATGTTGATTTATCTTTCAGGCCTACAGTTTTTTTTTAAAAAATTAAAACTTTCTTACAAGGTTTTCCCTAGTAAAAAACCTATGCCATCATTTATTTAAAATACATGTATATCATACTAACTTTACTACAAATCCATTAACCTATTTAGTGACATATCTCTCAAGACTCACTGATACAAAATTATAATGAACATTTTGAAGTATTTCTTTATTGCACAATGCAAATTTCTTAATATTATGGCTAACATGTTTTAATATCACTATTAATAAGGACTGTATGATCTCTGCAGTCTTTAAATGCAAGATATTTAAAGTGTACAATCAAATATACTTCAGTATATCTTGAGTTGGACCACAATTAAAGTGCATTAAGTACATAATTAGTTGTTCCAATTTAGCAGACACCAAGTATAACAGTTTAGTATACTAAAAGTACAATTGCAAAGTATTTTTATCAAGCACATAAATATGTTAATGTATTTATAGTATACTTAGCACAAAATAAACATATTTATTATAGTCAGTTAAAGGTCAGCTAAAATGTTCGTTAATTCAACTTCCTCATCAAATTTAAATTACAATTCTGATTCCCTTTTGCAAACTTGTGACAGCTAATGTTTTAACCATGCCATGGATATCCTGACACAGTCATGTAACAGATTGTTACCTAATAATAAAAATGGCTACTCTCTACTACAAAAGAGATCCTAGTTTGTAGACACTGTAAGTTGGGGCAAACACCCCTGTGGTTAAGCACCAACACATCCTTGCTAAAATTATATTAGGAAATCATAAGTAATAAGATAATTAGTACTCTCTAAAATCATAGAAATCACACATCAACATGTCTATGCCACCAGTCATGGTATAATTATCGTTGCAAGCTTAGTGTTTGTTCAGCTTAGCATCTGGACTCACCCACTCTTTCCTCCATCCACCCTGGTCTTGTGGGGGATCCTGCCCCAAGTTACTTTTGCATCACCACCAGCCTTCTTGCTTGAGCTAACAGTAAATGTTAGGCCTTGATCAA